ACTTATTACTCTGCAACTGAACAGATGCTACGACGTGATCACGCTGGAATAATTTTCACAAATCAAAACGTGCACCTGATCACATGACGCGTGATTTCGATAATCGCTGAGATCACCTCAACCCTAAATCATCGCAAATTCATTTGGCATCTGGTGAGCAAACTTGAAAAAGTTTTATTTGGCCACAGAGCTTCTGAATCTCCATCATCACTGCCGGAGATTGGAGCTTGACGTAGGTAAGCTGATAGTGAGGCTTGTATCAAATCGCGAAGGAGTTCTCTCAATACTCTCTGTTTGGCGATTCTTTGACGCCGTTTCTGACACATTGTCAGGTTCTTCCAACAGGTCCCATTTAGTTTGAAGCACAATCATTTAAAGAATGGGTTTGCATGCTGAAGTGTGCTAACTCTGAGGAACTTAAATCCTCAAAGACCAAATTTAAGGGCGTACTGCTTACCCACTACATCTGAGGTGTTCAACAGGGCGTTGCTGAATACTTTTGCGGTATCTATGGTGCTAGACGTATCTCGCATTGTGTGTTATTTAGAACAACACCTCTGCCATCATGATTGATGCTACAAGAACCGATAGCGTTTACGTACCGTAGCGCGCACATGAGAAATGGCCCCCTTGTATTAAAGGGTACGATCCAAGGCCCAATGAAATCTGGTATGCGAAGGCAAGCGCTTCTTAACGTCTAGTTTGACTGAAACTGCTTGTGTCCATCTAACTAAGAAAATTTGGAAATGTTTACTTGACTCAAAAAAACCCTGTTTCTACAAAGGCACAAACAAACTGCATAGATTGCTGTTCGCAAATATGGCTGAGCAGTACACAAGCGGTCACTCCTCAAATCTATTTACTGTTCACACTTGGACATAAACCATCAGACGAGCGGCTAGATTTGTTTTAAGACTTCCACTCGACAACTGACAAACACAGATAGAATAATTGTCGTTCTCTATATACTGCATTCATAATTTCAACCCGCGTTAAGTTAGCCTACCTTGTCCATTTTCTGTGTTGTCGAAAAATCCCTCCTTAAACAAGGTATCGCTACACACTGTGGTTCATAGATCTAAGCAATTTTTCAATCTAGTCACACTGATATATTTTGTTATATCTTATCATGTTTACTAACTTCATTTTGAAAATGCCTCCAGCGACTAAAGCAGATTTTGGCTGTAGGTTGAGGCGTCCGTTATGTTATGCGATGCGAAAATAACAGTGATTAGCATTTAAACAATTTATTTATATATTTATATTAGCTGCTGAAAGTCGTTATGATGTAAGTTTAAAAAAGCTG